GGGATGCTGGCAGATCTCAAGCAATAGTAGATATCGGGGAGGAATCACTAGGAAACCACATTGCCACAGATTAGACTGGACAGTAAGCAACAACCACAACAACAAAAATCCTGGGCAGAATGCAATATCAAATCTACTCTCCTCTTGCTCCCAGGAAACTACAGATTGGTTCAGTATTGATGTTAGAATTGAGTTTGATTTGAAGGATACCTTAATTTAAATCTGGTAGAGAGGAAGGGAGATGACCTTGGTGGAAATACTCAAGAACTGTTCTAAGCTGTTATGAGATTCATCTCTAGAGACTAAGATAGATGACCTTGATGGAAATACTCAAGAACTGTTCTAAGCTGTTATAAGATGAGATTCATCTCTAGAGACTAAGATAGATGACCTTGATGGAAATATGTAGGAACCATTACCTGGGCAAAATGGGTTGAAGCATGTTTTTAACCCCAGTGATAGCATAAGGTGAGCCTATTCACAGGAATCTTTAATGCTGGCATCTCATTCTACTTACCATACAAACTCCTGAAAGCTTTTCCTTGTAGATTTTGCTGGTTCTGGAATCCTAGTTTATAGCTGAACCCTCAAATCTTTCTCCTCCCATTTTTCCCCTTCTCTTTTGTGTCATCTCCTTATTTCTTTGTCTGCTGTCCTTGCCTCTGTATAAAATGTTTCACAACATTCAAAGAGATTGGTCCACTATAATGAATTCACCATAAATCATCATCTTCCTTTAATGACCCCATAATCCCTTGCAGGGTAGACTCTGGGCAACTAAATGGATGTGTTTACTGGCCGGATGCCCTTCCTGTCATCAATGTGGAGTTTTGTTCAGCAGATATATTCTCATTGTGCCCAGAGAGAGAAATATCTGCCTCTACCTAGGATTGAACTCACAGCCTCCTGATTGTGAGGCTAGACCTCCACCTCTAGGCCATTGCACCACTCAATGAATTCACCATAAATGAGGTTAGGAAATCCCTTTTGCTGGTTTCATGATTCCTGTGCTTGACACAAGATGACTATTGAAGTCTGGATAGTTAGTTCTGGCTTCCTTGGTGTGCCCAGTTACACGCCCATGAAGGTGAAATAACCATTATAAATATTTAAAGGAGTTGTAATGTTCATATGTTAAAGTAATTGAGCTTTGGGTCTCTGGCTTTTGAATTCTGAAACCTTCCTATGATTTTTCTCTCCTTCTTATCTAGAGCCACAGCCTTTGGGATACTCACCGCCGTCTGTAAAGTTGGGGCTATCTTGGGGAATTCCATCTTTGCCTCTTTTGTTGGGATCACCAAAGTGGTCCCCATTCTTCTGGCATCTTCGGCTCTAGTTGGTGGAGGCCTCTTATCCCTGAGGCTGCCAGACACACGAGACCAAGTCCTGATGTGAGCAGCTGGAGGATGGAATGCAGAACCGGCCTATGGCGAAGAGACCTGTTTGGAAGAACATCAAAACATCTACCGATATTTCTCTGCCAATACCTCATATTTTGTGGGGAAAGGGAGAGAAGAATAGACCTCCTATTGAATTCTAGGACTATTGTGTAGTGATGGTGGAGCCCACACAGCCAGGCAAAACACATGATAAACCCCTTACCTGACAAATATGTCCAAAGTTCTAATCAATAGCCGCCACCACAGCCTAGTAGATTAGAGAAATTCTACATTAAAAGGAATGTATAAACATCAATATACTGTAGATATCAATATAGCTTGATATCTGTATTTCTACAGTTTTCCAGGAAATTTTTATCTATCTATCTATCTGTCTGTCTGTCTGTCTGTCTGTCCGTCCGTCCATCCATCCATCCATCCATCTATCTATCATCTATCTGTCTGTCTGTCCATCCATTATCTATCTATCTATCTATCTATCTATCTATCTATCTATCTATCATCCATCTATCTATTCATCTATCTATTCATCTATCTATCTATCTATCTATCAATCAATCAATCAATCAATCTATCATCTATCTATCTATCTATATATCTATCTATCATCTATCTATCTATCCATCCATCCATCCATCCATCCATCCATCCATCCATCCATCCATCCATCATCTATCATCTATCATCTATCTATCTATCTATCTATCTATCTATCTATCTATCTATCTATCTATCTATCTATCTATCTATCTATCTATATATCATCCGTCCATCCGTTCGTCCATCCATCCATCATCTATCATCTATCATCCATCCATCCATCTATCTATCTATCTATCTATCTATCTATCTATCTATCTATCTATCTATCTATCTATCTATCCATCCATCCATCCATCCATCCATCCATCCATCCATCCATCCATCTCTTTATCACCCATCATCCACCTACCTACCTTCTCCTTTCTTGAAGAGCAAGGTAGAATATATAACACTCCCTCCAAAAAAGAATTCTTTTTTTAGGTTGGGCTTAGGTAGACTCACTGGCCTTTCCATAGAGGAGAAATTTGAACCTGGATGTCCCAGGTGCTAGACATGCAGTTCAATCTCTAGTCCAGTGTAGGCACTTCAAGATGCGTGGTCTTCAACTCCCCAAACTCAATTCTGGGAATGGAAATCCACACATCTTCAGAGTTGCCAAAGCTGAGAAACATCCACCCCATCAAGGGTTCAGATAGTTTTTTGGGAAAAATGTCAACCATCAGCCCCACATTTGGTAGAAGGTAGAGTCTTATTTAGGGGATCTTAAAGTAATGCTGCCTATATTTTCAGGGAGGCGTGCTCAGCCTCTTCTCCTGTTGTCTCACAATAAACAAACCCCCTTTTTTATGGAATTGGAGGAATCAAAGGCCATTTAGTCCAATCCTTTACTCAGGTCATTTAGATTTTGTTTGAAAAAGCCTGACCTGTATTTGCATTATATGTATTATATATATGCACATGCAAACAAATACACACATTGTTCTGAAGTATGCATGTAAACACACACACACACACACACACACACACACACACACACACACACACACGCACTCTGAATAAACAACCCATTTCATTCTCATTGACGGTCTCAAACAAAGCAGAATGCTTCCAGTTTTCCCCATGGATATTTTAATTCCTGTAATGGACCCTAAAGTAGAAAGAGAAAGTGCTGCTAATGTTAATTTAACCCATTGGACAGTATTCTAGTACTCTATTGGGCAATATGTCTACAAAATGAGGTTTTATGCTGCTGTCTTTGACTGAACTGGTTTCATCTGAATGTTGTTTTCCAGAACCAATAATGTTTTTCCTCTATCCCACGAAGAGGGGCAAGGATTTAATTTATCAATGTAGAAAATATAGAACCATTGGGAATTGTTGTGCACACTATAGCCATATGAATGCATGGCAATTGTTGAATTATTGATAGATGTCCATTTAACTGGACTATGCAAAGTACAGATTGGGGCACGGTTGTTCCCATCCTCCGAGGACTGCAGCCACTAAAGGTTTCTTTGTAGTACAGACTAAAAATTCATCATCGGCTAGAGGAAAATAAGATTTTCAGGAAGAGGAAACTTGTAATTCTGACTTTGCTTAGGCTGTCTTGTTCTCAAGTATTCCATGCCAAGGTCAAGTTTAGGAGGCATGGAGGGAAGTCAACATTGGCGTATAGGGCAAAGACATATCAAGACACATGCCGTCCATGGATGGAGATGGCAAGAGATTGTGATTGCCAAGAAAAGGCAGAGTGACCATTACGGATGGCCTGAAGACATGCGATCTACAGTTGGGGAATGTGGAATCTTGACCTATGCTTTGGACTATTGGCAAGGAGGCCAGGAAGACTCTGAAAAAAAATGATAACTGGATGCTTTTCAGGAATGTTCATCCTCACCAGGATCCAAAGACCTCTCATAATACTTACATCCTGTTTTGTTGGCAGTTTGCAGAAGACTTGCTATTGACCTTCTCTCTACTATCATTGACAAAACTGCTTCACAATTTTGCTTCCAAAATAAAAGATCAGGGGGGGAAAAAAGAAGCCATCCTCAGAGAAATGCCATAAAAACAAAGAACAAGCAAACCAAAACACTCCGCCTCTCACTGTAAGGATGCACCAATCCAACCCAATCTTTATTATGGTCAAAGACCACCATAACCATAATGATACCTATGGCATAGATAAGACTCAGTTACATACTGTCCAGCTGGTGCATGTTCAGTATTCTCTGGCATCTGTTCAATGAGCTTGAGGTCCCAGCTGCTTCCTCCCTGTTGTCTTAAATATCAAAAAGCCATATGGTCTGGTCCACTCTTAGGGATAAAAAACGTGGACATGGATGGGTCCAGAGCCAGACCTGAATCTTCCCATTTCCTCTTGTGATGTTCTCCTGCACTTCTAAGGACTTGTTTTGTACCCACCCCGCAACTTGTGTATTAATACACCTACCCGCTCATTGTGGGGCCTGTAGCCGTAGCATTATGTGTACATTGAAAAAAAAATGTGTTATTGAATAGATGGGATCACTAACCACACTGACATTTCCTTTAGACACTTGTCCCCCCCCCCTGCCAAAAAGCTGCTTTACCTTCTGTATCAACTTCCCTAGAATGCATACCCATCACCTTGAATTTCATGTCGGGCAATGAGATTGCAATAAATACAGACCAAATGGGTCACCCAAGGCTCGGCGTTCATTGTAGATTTTTCTGGCATTCTTGCAGAAGCTGCTTGGCTGACCTTGTACCATCTTTCCTAGCCTGGCAGCCATTAAGGGCTGGAGCTACAAGGTGGGGGAATTTTAATGGTGAAGGTAAACATTTCATGGGGAAGTGGCTATAATGAGAGAGGCAACGTTACAAAGCGTTGGGAGCCTTTCATGTGCAGATGGATAGAACTACGGTTTTCCATTTTCCAGGTTTTGGGAAATAACTTTGCAGTATAGCCCTCTGTGTTTATAGTCTGCAAAACTTACACTGGACTTTCTGTGGGTTTTTTTTCCCTACCTTCAAATGGTAGGGCATCATGATGGCCATTTTCAACCACAAAGGCCAGCAGGTTTGACAGGCCATAAACAGACTTGGGAGACAAGGTCTGCTGGTGTCCTACCCGTTCCTGACTTAAATCCAATAACAATAACACTTAGACTTATATACCGCTTCACAGTGCTTTTACAGCCCTCTCTAAGTGGTTTACAGAGTCAGCCTATTGCCCCCAATAATCTGGGTCCTCATTTTACCAACCTCGGAAGGATGGAAGGCTGAGTCAACCTTGAGCCCGGTGAGATTCAAGCTGCCAAATTGCAGGTAGCTGGTTGTCAGCAGAAATAACCTGCAGTACTGCACTCTAACCACTGTGCCACCATGGATGGTGGGTGGGTGGGTGGGTGGGTGGAAGGAAGGAAGGAAGGGAGGGAGGGAGGAAGGGCAATAGTAATAGCAGTTAGACTTATATACCACTTTGCTTTATAGCCCACTCTAAGCAGTTTACAGAATCAGCCTCTTGCCCCCCAGCAATCTGGGTCCTCATTTTACCAACCTCGGAAGGATGAAAGGCTGAGTCAACCTTGAGCCTGGTGAGATTTGAACTGCCAAATTGCAGGCAGTCGGCAGTCAGCAGAGGTTGCTTGCAGTACTGCACTCTAACCACTGCGCCATCGAGGCTCACAATGATGTTCCTCTGGGGTGTGAAAGTTAACATTCCCAGAAATCCTTCCTCTTAGGTCTTGAGACTTGATGTACATCTGGATGAAGTACCTCTCGCTTAGATCGAAATGCAAGGATGCTACTGTGGATGAGATGGGATGGGGGTGATTCTCCACGGGAAGCAGCTACAGCTGAAGGCTGCATCCACTTGCAGTAATGCAAAGTTATTGTAGAAAATTATGGCTGATCCTTCTCAGATGAGAAAAGTAAAAACAATCATCTTGTGATGAACGGATAATCATCCACTGTTGAGCCATCATATCCAGCTTAACCTTGCAAACCATTCCCGTCCTTGGGAAACCACGAGGGACTTCCAGCTAAAAGCCATTTAAAATCATTAGAAACTTGGATTTAAATTGGGAGCACTGTGGAAGGAGCTTGGTGGCGGGTCTGGCTATCCACAGTGGACTTTTATTTTTCTAACCATCCATCATAGGACAGATCCTGATTGTGGTGCTAGGTATCTAATATTCTGGTACTATAACTCCATTTTCCCCTTGTCAAGCCTTGTGCGGATAGTCCTTGGTTTACAGCCATTGGTTTGGTGAATGTTAGAAGTTACAATGGCCCTGAAAAAAAGTGACTTATGATTATTTTTCACACTTAAGACTGTTGCAACATCCTCACAGTCAAATGATAAAATTCAGAGCCATGGCAACTAGTATTTATTTATGATGGTTGCTGTGTTCCGAGGTCATTTGATCCCCTTTTGCAACCTTCTGACAAGCAAAGTCAATGGGGAAG